GGCGCCCCGCGTCCACGTGGGCAACGCGTGAGTGCGCCGAGCCCCGGCTCCTGAGCGCGGCCGGGCCGTGGGGCCCGGGGGGTCGGGGCGGTGGGGCCGTGAGGCCTGTAGGGCGCGGGCCCCCTCAGTTTGCGATGTGGAAGTTCGGCCGGGTCCCCTGGGCCTCGGGAGGAGAGCAGAGGTAGAGGGGTGGCACTGCCTTGCTCTGGGGCGCGGGCGGGCGGGCAGGAGGAGTTTCTTGCCGGATTCAGGGTGATGGGGCGCGTTCCTGGACGGTGGCAAGGCCGGGACGTGGGAAGCAACAGGAGCTGCCGCAGACCCCTCGAGGCCTGAGCTACAAATGGAAGGAAACATGGCTTTCCCACCAAAGTCTTCTGCCTGTGTGACTGCGCCAGCCCCCTAGCACGGCCTGCTGTCAGAAAGGAGATGCCAAGCAGGAAGAGGGGACTTGACAGCGGGTGTGTCTACACGTGAAATGAATGCAAAGGAATAAATTGCAGAGCAGGTTGTCCGCTGCTCCCCAGTGCAGCATCTCCACGTGTACTGGGGAAGCAGCGGTTTGAACCAGGGCAGAGCAGGCCCCCAGCTGGCTGCTGGGTGCCTGCAGTCTGTCTACACGGGCGTTTTGGCACAGTAAAATACTCTGCAGTAAGATTAGTAGTATTGGGAACAGCACTGTCTTCCGGCAGGGTTAATAAGTTCACTGCACCCTAATACCAGCACCCGCGTAGACATTGACTCTCTACTGCAGAGTTAATTAGTCTGTTCTGCAGCAAACTGCATGTGTAGATGCACCCAAGGAGAGTTAGTGGAGACAGGGTGCCCCTTTGGCCTGAGTGCTGTTCAAATGCATGGCCCCGGCCCCAAAGAGTTTACAGCGTGTGGTCATTAGCCTGCAATTAGGTGCACCAGTGTGGACATGCAAAGCCCCACTTAAACCGGAGGCTAAACTAACCAGGTACAACAAGTTCATGTAACAAAAGCAGGAGTGGGGACAGGGACAGTCCTGACAAACATGTGAGGCTGCCTAATCTAACAACATGCACAACTTCTTAAAATAGTAAGGGAGGCTTTCATAGGGCCTACTTCTTGGTTTCCTTAACTTATTTTTTTTTTTCCTGTGTGTGATTGGTCAAATAAGTGTCATGGTTTTGATTATGTTCTGCTATTGGCTGAGAGCAAAAGGACATCGTATGTAGGCAGTCAGACCAGTGAGTGACAGGTTCTCTGTGACTATTCTGGTCAGTAAAGCTGGACTGCTTGAATGTTTAGATAAAGTGGAGGCAGGAGCCACAAATTCAGGATATCAGTGTCAACAAATAATTAAGAAAATATGTTATTTGTGCACTTTGCTATTTCTCAGATGCAGCGTATTTATTCAGGCCACTCAGCTTGTAGATTCTGTTCCCTGCTTTGTCACTCACCTGCTATAACCTTAGGCAGTCACCTCATCTCTCAGTGCCTGGCTCCTTTCCCAACTATTAAAGCTATTTAGACTGTACATCCTTTAGAACAGGAGGACTGTCTTATGGTATGTGTATAGCACTGATCTAATATGGGGGCATTCAAATATAACAGAATATAAATAATAATAAAACATGTAGATGCACCCATTTTCCACCTTTCACCTAAACCACCTTTCTCCTAGGGTTTCTGCCTTTCTCTTAAACAAAAACCAAGCCCTGCCTTTGTCTCTACTGCCAAGCTTTGCGTCTCAAAATGGGCACGTCTGCGTGTTCATTAATGTGTTTTAGGTAGTGCACATTAAATCTAGTACCTCCATTGTGAGGTACTAGAAAAATGTGAATTAGCTACAGAGCAGTTTTTTCCGAGACACTTAAATGTGAATTAAAATAGGCTAATGTTCATTAAAGTGCACTTGTAGTGAAAGTAAAGTGCCCAGTGGAAGTAATACTGCTTCAGGATTAGCACTAAGAGTTTTACTCAGTGGTCGAGGATGCTTCCAGGCATTCTTCTTCAGGCCTGCTCGCTCTCTCATGCTGCCTGTGTCTCTTTCACATTCTTCAACAATCCAGGGAAAGATCTAAAATTATTGCTGATAAAATTTGCAGATGGCAGTGAAAAAGAAGTCCAATTTTATCTTTTTACTGTAATAATGACAATAACAAATGAACAACAAATGAAAACCTTGCAAAGAAAAGCATTAAAAGTCACAATATATACATATACATATGCATACGTTGCTAAACAGCTTCATTGTTCCCGATAGTCCTCGTATTTTGACTGTGGTTAGCACAGATTGAATTCTTCCTTCTTTGGAGCTTCTGGATGGATCTAACAGGCTTGTGTTATTTCTCCTTCCCAGCAGGCACTTTGAGCAGGACGTATGGTGCTGTAGCTGAGAGAAAAGCCATCCAAATTTCCCCTCAATCTTCTTCAGTTCCTCCTTCGCAGTCTGTAGTGTAGTAATAATGAGACATTTAAAATTCCATAATTTCCACAGCAATGTTGTGATGTCACAAATGTCCTTTGATGTTGCAGGCTTATGACTTCGTTGCAGGTTCAAACAGAAGGCATAGCCAGGCTTTGACATGAAGCTGACCTGGTTGGATCACTCCTGTTTTTGGACAAGAAGGCCTGACTGACCATTGCCTATAGCAGAACTTAAAAACAAAAATAACATTTCCTAGAATAGATGCATCTGTTCTTTCAGATGCAAGGAAACCCACATCTCATTTACCTGGCATGTGAGGATTTGGAGTTAGACAAAATAAATGAATAAGAACATGAATAAATGAGAATGAGAACATCTGAACTCCATTTGAAAGAAATTTCTGTTTGAAATGTGCTGAAATATTTTACGTTCTGGCACGGCCTTTCTTTTTTCCCTTGTGAGTGATTCATCCTCAACTAAAGATGAGGATGATGTTATTTAAGGATCTCATTTCGCTCAGATTCAGGAGGGTGATGTTAAATTGCACTGCAGACAGTGTAGTATGAAAAATCCTGCCACTGTGTGACTTTGTGATACAGATAAAGTCGAAGTATATGATACTTCTATGTAAGATGTGAGGGGGGGAAAAAGCTAATGAGATCACAAAGGTAAAAGAGGACAATATTTTGGGGAAAAAATATCCATGTATATGATAGCAAGCCATTTCAATAGTAACGCCTTCTACAAGACAAGGCTCAAATATGTGAGGAAAGGACTATTATAGAGGTTACAGACTCCTACAATAATAATTTCTTTTGATTATTAGTGCAACAAAATAAATTAGAATAGAGAATGAAATTTAGGTTATTTTCTGTGACCACAGAATTTAAGATGAGCTAAAGTAGAGTGGGGAGTATGCAAAGTTGCTGTAGCACTGAGAATGATCTGCTTGTGGTTGTATAAGACCAACTATCCTATGAACCTGAAGTAAAAATGCTTCATCTAGAATCTCCCTGTTCTTATGATGCCCCTGACAACTTTGGGATTCTGTGAGATGACTTGCATAATGCAGGCTCTTGGTTTGTTTAAATGGGTTTTCAGCCTATGTCACTTGTGCTTATGATGTGGAAACCATGTTGCAGCATAAGCCTGCTTTTTCAGAAGGTAATTTTCAGCTAGCTCGTGTTTTATGAATGCTGAAATCCAATGAAAAACATGATGCAGATGGTAGAGAAAAATGGACCTGATGTAGGTAAACTCAGTACCACAGGATGATGTTGACTGATGGCACATCAGACAAAGCTTTTGCTTCTTCAGAGACTTTCCAAAGGGCGTCTATAAGGATTGCAGCATAGTAAGGCAAACATCTGGCCCCAAACCAGGGAAGCACTGTCACCTCTATCAAAATGTAAAAGATTATACTGACAAAAAACAGAAAAACAGAGAAAAACCAGATCACCTGTGACACACTATTTAGTGATGTATGAGAGCTGAGAAAAGTTGACTGAAGTATCTATAAACAGAGACTGGTCCCAGCAGATTGAATGTTTTACAAAATGCAAAGGCAAGCTAACTGTGCCTGCTGTACCACTAATGCTAATGGACAAATCTTTCTGGCAAGTGGAGGAGCAGGAAGTAGTGGAGCTTCACAAGAGGGTTTGAAAGCACCCTTCTAACTGTCAGTGTCCTTCCAACCTGGATCTTTTTCTCTCTTGACCTTCTGACAGAAAAATTGATGCAAAGGGAGGAAAAAATAGAAGAGCTGCAGAAAGAGGAGCAGATACCAACATTCTAACCCTGCCTTAGTTCAGCCTACCAGAAGAGAAGGTGAAGAATCCAACTGAACCAAAAACCTTTCACTTGCAGACTGATAAACAGGAAAATTTCAAGTTACAGAACAGGAAGAAACAAATCAAAGACATGAAAGACCAAACAGAGACATCCTGTTTTAAAGCTGGTGTAAACACTGTGGTACATTAGAATTCTTAGTGTCAAAGAAGGAAAACAAGTTGTTACTAGTTCCTGAAGGCTTTGAGTTGGCAAGAGGAAAGGGAGCAAAAGAAAATCAAGAATTTGAAAAAGAACAGTTGAGTTTGAAGCTGAAAACCTGTTTTTAAAAAAACCCTGTATCAGCAGATATTCACCTGCTGGCATGGTTTGTTTGTTTTTTTGAAGATAGGGAAGATAAAAGTTGAGCCTGGGGAGACAGAAGTTGCCAGGTTAGGGCAGGAAATGGGGAACAAGGAAAAATCCATTCACAAATGCAGCAGCAGTCAACCACTGATGATGCCAGATTTTCCTGATGGACAAATTTTACTTTTGATAAGTACTTGGGTGCAGAGGCAGTTAGTTCAAGACTCTTTTCCCCCTTGGGATTATTTATTCTATTTTATGCTTTGAACT